ATTGTTTTCCTTATTATACTCATTCTTCACATTCTCCTTCCAATAGTGTTTGATGTTCTCCTTTTTCTTTTGTTTTATTTGATGATTTCAATTCTTTTCTAAATTTATCTAATCCAAATATTTCCCCATCCATTATTGAAGTTGTTGAGTCTATTTCTTCAAAAGTGGCTTTTTATCGACCGACACAAAGACCAATTTGTTATAATGACTATTACAATGCAATTACATTATTGTCTAATATTCTAAATCAAGCACTCAATATCATTTATCTTTAGTTAGTTCTTATGAAATTGTCTCCTTCATATCAAATTTTTTTTCTATCTGTTAGTTTTCTAATGAACATAAAACTTATTGATGTAGCCAAACATGATTGTTTGCTTAAGGCTATACAAGACGAAATTATGCTCTTGAATTGAATAACACTTGGGTTATTAACTAATCTACCTCTTAACAAAACTACCATTGAATATCGTTAGGTTTACAAAATCAAATATCATGTTAATGGTACTATTGAGCATTAAAAAACATGTTTAGTTGTGAAGGGTTACACTTAAACAGAGGGACTTAATTATTTGGACAACTTTTGTAGCTAAGATAACTATTGTCAAACTTTCACTAGCCTTTGTTGCAATCCATAGTTGGCATTTTAAATAATCGGATATTAATAATTTTTTTTACACGGTGATCTTAATGAAAATATGTATATGTAACTACCTCTTGACCTTATTTCTTCTAAAATATGACAAATTTGTCACTTAAAATGTTCTCTATATGGTCTCAAATAAGCAAGTTATTAGTGGTATGATCATATTCCATCTTTATTAAAGTCTCATGGTTATACTCAATTATAATTTATTATCCTTTATTCATCAAAACCTCCACTAGTTCTGCACTACTTTATTAGTATATGTGGATGATATTGTTTTAACAGGACATAATCTCTTTGAAATATCTTTTATTACCAAGCAAATTGATAATACTTTTTGCATCAAGGATCTTGATGACTTAAAATATTTTTTAGGCGTTGAAGTTGAACAAGATGTTACAAGTATCAACATATCTCAATGCAAGTATGCTTTAGATATCCTTTCTGATATAGGAATGTTAGCTTCTCGTCCTGTTAGTACAACTTTTGATTATAGGACAAGTTTACATCATGATTTGGACATTTCCTTAAGTGATTTTAATGCTTCTTCTTATAAATGTTTAATTGGTAGGTTCATTTACTTGACTAACTCTCGTACTGATATTATCTATGTGGTTTAATGAACATATTTTATCAATAATTTTATTAGTGTATTTTATCTATTTTTAGTATTTTTTTAATTAATTATTAGTTTCTTAACATAGTTTTTTTGTAAAAAGAGTTTAAATATCTCTATATTTAATTTATCACTTAAATTATACATTTTAACTAAATTATTCGGTTATTCTTGCATGTATGAAAAATTAAAGAAAATGTAAAAAATTATCCAGGAAAATTCACTCAACGCAAAAAGAATCCACTTAGCAAATATCAGTCAAAAAGCTCATTCTAGAATTATACAATTCACTGAACGAACGAGGAATCCGCTAAGAAAATGTGTCTACTTCTTATAACTAACTTAACATCAAACCTGCTAAGTGAAGCAAGGAACCATTGAGCATATTCATCGTAGAACCTCAATTTTGCAAAGTCATTCGAGTTTTATTATGTAATTATAGGTCTTGAATGGGTCTTGCGTACTTTGTGCATGTTTATTGTTGTATAAATAGACTTTAGAAAGTCCAAATTCATAAGTTAAGTTTCATTTTCCAAATTTAAAGTTATAGAACCCATTTTCCCTATTGTTTTCTCTCTTTTGTGATGCTTAGCTTTCAAATTCGTTTCTTAAGCTTCTTGTACGAATAATGCCTTGAAGTTTATAATTCAAATTGTTTTGAATCATACTTATCTTGTTTCTCGTTACATCTTGCATTTAATTTTCATTTCTCATCTTCTCTTTCCACTTTTCTTGTATTTCTTTCATTATTTTGAATTTTTATATATATACCTTAATCATGTTCTAATCCATCTTTGTGGTTGAATCACCGATTAAAACTTGTTTCCTATAGTTTAGATTTGATTATTTATGATTCTAACTAATTATAATCCATTATATTTAATCTAAATGAGCTTATTTGATTGAATTTCTCTTTTGCATCACAATTCAACTTCTAGTTTTAAGTGATTGTTTGGTTTGGAATTGAGTTTTTTTTTTCTTATTTCAATTGGATTGTAATTATTTGGAATTGTTGTAAATTTTCTATTGTGATTGCAAGACAAATTATAGAAAATCTATGATATTCATATGAACAAGTGGTGATTGAAGATTAAATATACTTTTCTTACTACTTTTACATTAGTTCTTCATTATTTTACATCACAATTTCCTATTCTTCTACCTCTTAATTTTGTGCACAAGTTTTTTTTTATAACTTTTAGATCTTTAATGCTTTGTAGAACATAGATTTACTATAATTCTTTATTGCATGTCATTTACATCCTTTAAACAATAGGTTTAGTGCTTTTCTTTTGTAATTTAATGCGCTTTATAACTTTCCTTTAATGTTATCTTAGTTTAGATTTATGATGTTTTCATTTACAAGCTTATATTTATTGTTTTCTCGGATTAGTTTATTGTTTTTACGAGGAGATTACTTTTATTTTTTGCATCATAATTCTCAAAATCTCCTATATTCCTTACATTTGGCAATTGGGAATCAAAATTTAAACAAAACTAAACAATTCTCCTAGAGGATACAACCTAATCCAACCCTAGCACTATATTAATTTTATTGTAATTTTTTTATGAGATCGAGGTGACAAGATTTTCATTCATCAAAATGGCATCATTGTATATTTACTCAACCATTTGTGTTTCGTTGATCGACTCTTTTGATTTTTGTATACAATTTTGGCACTACCATATGTTTTTCTCAACGATAACCTTTCAATGTTATTTGTTTTTTTTTTCATTTTTAGCTTGACGGGTTATGTGATTAGTTGAGAAATTTCCTTCTAATGTTGTATAGTTTGAATATTTCTTGAAAACTTAGAAAAAACTTACTATTTGTTATATATTCGCTCAATCGTTGTTTCATTGAGCGAATCTTTTGATATTTGTATATAGCTTTGGCACTATCATATTTTTGCTCAGCGAAAACCTTTCGATGTTGTTTTTTTTTTCATTTTTCGCTTAACGATTATGTGATTTACTGAGCCATATCCTTCCAATGTTGCATAGTTTGAATATTTATTGTTTGATCAGCGATTGCTTATTTTCTAAGTGGTTTTGTTCATTATCTAGTATTTTTTTATTCTGCCAAGTATTCACTCAACAAGATCTATTATTCATTGAGCGATTTTCTTTCAGTACTTTGATTTTAGTTTCAGTAAGTTTTTCACTCATCAATTTTGTGTTTTGTTGAGTGAATTATTTCTAGTGGTTAAATTTGTGCTTTGTTTGTTATATTCGCTTAGTAGATTGATTATTTTTAAGTTTGTGTGTTCATTGGAACTATTTTGCCTAACGATTTGTGAAACGCTCAATGAATTTGGTTCTCATTGAGTATTTCGCTCAATGAATTTAGTCCAGTAGCTTCTATTTGTTTGATTTTTTGTACAATTTTTAATTATTCTTGTCTCTTTTGGTTTCTAAACTTGAATGCTTCGGTCTCAAAATGTTAAGTTTTTTTCATTTGATCTAAAAATTGAAAGAACGTTACATAAACTTAAAAAAACAACAAAAAGAAAAACAAATAGATTCCTTATCCACTATTGAAACATGTCTCAAAATAATTTCGATGAGAGGGCACTTAGGGAATTGGTTGCACTAGTGCAGAACAGGGTTTTTACGTCACCCAATTGTCGTCGTATGCATGTATATTCGACGTAAATAAAACGCGGTGGCAATTTTGTAAATATGAGACAAAAAATTTACGTCGCACATCCCAGTATGCGACGTAAAAAGCCATCTTTTACGTCGCGCCCTCCAGGTGCGACGTAAAAGATGGCTTTTTACGTCGCGTGCTGGGATGCGCGACGTAAAAAGTCTATTTTATTTCCCTCCAGACCCACTTCTTCGTCTCGCGCAACTAGGGTTTTTGAGAACGACGATGAGGACGACGACAAAAGCTACCTCTGCACACCATTTTCGAGCAGTTTTACAATGAAAAGCATCTACATTATCGTGTCATTTGACGAACTTGATCTTTCTCCCCGATTGGATTTGAGTTTGAAATCAGTTTTCGTCTACACTTGAGGTTAGTGTTCTATGTCATTGCTATATGTTTACATTGAATCCGTGATTGTTTTTGGGGATCTCAATCACGTTATAGTATGAATGTCTCCACTGGATTGTTATTGGAATGTAATTATTTGTTTATTTGTTTGAATGCATTCGATTTACACACTCCATTGTTGTTGGAACGTGCTTTCAATTTGTTTATTTGAAGGCCACAGATAACAAACCTAAACCTAATGTTACCGTGGCAAAAGATGGCGAGTGGAAACTTCAAAACCATTTCGAATGTTTAAATTCTATCCTCGCAAAGTATGAAGGACGGTAATTAGCCTCTCTCACGCTCTACCCCGTAGCTAGAAGCCTCTAGCTTATTTATATCTGCACGTATATTTGCTATCGTTTGAGGTATAATTATTATTGGGGTTTGAAAATGCAGGTATGTGATTTTTGTTAAAGAGGGAATATACGATGAGACAGTGAAAATAACAAAGAAAATGCAAAATATAACCATGTACGGTGATGGATCCCGGAAGACCATCATCACTGGTAACAAAAACTACGAGGGACGGAGTCGGGACTTTCCTAACTGCAAGTTTTGGTACGCGAGCATGTCTAAAACTAAACACCCTTCACCATGTGATGTATATTTTTATTATTATTATTATAAATGGGTAACATATTGTTTTGGCACATGCACGCGCAGTGGTAGAGGGAGACGGATTCATAGGCCTAGCAATGGGGTTCGAAACACTGCAGGCCCCGATGGACATCAAGCGTGGGCTGCAAGAGTCCAGGCGAGATCGTGCGGTGTTCGCCAACTGTCGTTTTGAGGGCTACCAAGACACTCTATACGTCCAAGCCCACAAACAGTTCTACAGGAGCTGCATCGTTAGTGGCACAATTGACTTCATCTTTGGTGATGCAGCTGTGGTGTTCCGGAACTGCATCATGGTTGTGAGGAAGCCAAATGACAACCGACGAGAACATGGTGACAACACAAGGGAGAGAGGACAAGCAACAAGCCACTGGAATTGTGCTCCAGAAGTGCACAATCAAACCTGATGACAAACTGGTCCCGATAAAGGACAAGATCGGGAGCTACCTTGGAAGGCCATGGAAGGAGTTCTCAAGAACCATTGTGATGGAATCAGAAATAGGTGACTTCATTCACCCTGATGGATGGACAGCTTGGAATGGAGACTTTGCTCTCAAAACATTGTACTATGCTGAGTATGGCAACACAGGACCTGGTGCCACCACCAATATGCGACGTAAATTTACGTCGCATATTGGTATATGCGACGTAAATTTACGTCGCGTATTGGTATATGCGACGTAAATTTACGTCGCGTATTGGTATATGCGACGTAAATTTACGTCGCGTATACCATATGCGACGTAAATTTTCTATTTTTTTTTTAAATTGAAAAGGTTTTTACGGCTGTTTAGTGTAAATCTACGTCGGATCTGGATAATTGACGTAAATTTACGTCGGGCAAAAGGGTCTGACGTAAATTTACGTCTCCTGCTTTAACGTCGGACTTAAATACAACGTAAAAAGCCCTAAATACCTGACGTAAAAACCCCTTTTTGCACTAGTGTTGTACTTGATGTTTCAAATTATAATATATGCATTCAATTTGATGATAATGAGGATGTGTCAGTTGTGCTTAAAACAAATTTAATGCATTTGTTACCTAAATTTTGTGGCCTTACAAGTGAAGATCCACATAAACACCTTAAGGAATTCCACATTGTTTGTTCTACCATGAGACCTCAAGGTGTTACTAGGATTATATCAAGCTTAAGGAATTTCTATTTTCACTGCACAAAGGTGCAACAAATTGGTTTTATTACTTACCTCTAAGTTCCATCACAAGTTGGGAGAACTTGAAGAAGTTGTTTCTTCAAAAATACTTTCTAGTCTCAAGAGATATTTCAATCCAAAAGGAGATATGTGGTATAGGTAGTTAGAAGAAAGAGTTTGTTGGATTATTGGGAGAGGTTCAAAAGACAAGGTTCAAAAGGATTGTTAGATTAATTAATTCTACTGTTTTTCATGTAAAATTGTCTTCTAATTTAAAATATAAATTTTTGGATTACAATGATTCTTTTCCATTATTTCTAATTTGTTGAATATTGAGCAAGGAAATAAATTACTTTATGTAATTATGAAAAATATAAAGGTTATTGGATGGACTCTTGATGATATTCCTAGAATTAGTCCTTCTTTGTGTATGTATGGAATTTGATTGGATGATAATTGTAAGTCCATTAGATAACCTCAAAGGAGGGTAAATATGTTAGACAAATGACATCTAGAGGGAGGTGAATAGATACACAAATTAAAATAGATGTCAAATTAAAATTTATTTGTATTGTCAATAATTTGTTAAATTGAGTTTGAACACAGATAAAGCACAAATAAAGCAGAAGCGATATAATCAGATAGATAAAGGGAAATATTCAAGTATGAAGATATAGAGAAGAGAATGACAGTATAGGGAAGAGAAGATCATACATAGATTTATATTGGTTCGGGTATAACTAACCCTACATCCAGTTTCCAGTAAACGTTAATCACAAGAGTGACTCAAATTCACTATCTTTCAAATTCAGTTTACAAATTACAATCAACTCAGCAGAGGAACCAATAAAAAGCAAACTAATTCAAAAGACAAACACCTCCTTAGAATCTCACTAAGGATGAACACCTCCCTAGAATCCTACTAGGGATGAACACCTACTCTGAACAAATCAAAAGATGAAAATACCTTCTTAGAATCCCATTAAGGATGAACACCTCATTGAACAAATCAAAGGAATGAAAACACGTCCTTAGAATCCCACTAAGGATGAACAATATAATAACATAATTGATTAACTTAAACCAATCAAGGATGAAACACCTTCCCTGAACCAATCAAGGGAAGAGCACCTCCCTGAACTGATCAAGGGATGAACACTTCCCTAAACCAATCAAGGGATGAACAGTTCCCACTCTGAAAATCCTAAATAACATAATCAATAAAATAAGAATCGTCACACCTGGTAATGGAGACACCAAATTGTAGAAGTCTGTAAAATGTCAACCTCCAAGAACAAGTCTGATTAACAATGAAAGTGTAGAAGGCAATATGAAAAAGTTTTCTCAGAAAACCTAAAAGTGTTTTATTGCCTTGCTCATAATTCTTTTCTCAAAATTGATTGAATGTAAATTATATTTTCGAATTCCGTAATTGTGTATTTTTTATTTTTTATTTTTCATCGAACTCATTTAAATAGGAAAATAACATCGGAAAATAGTCGTTGGCCATTAATAATTTTGTAGAGAAAAATCAGGATGTATTAAAAACTTTTATTCTTCAAAAATAGATATATTTTTCAAATTTAAATTGTCATAATTGATTATGTTACCAGTATAATCGATTATGACAAAGACAAAATCGTTTTCCATTTCTGATGCATCACAATCGATTATGACAGTGAAAAATGTCATATTACTAAATTTTATCACACTTGTGCTTTTGAGGCTTATACATAATACCACTTCATCAACTTATACCTCCATATCCAGCATTCTAAGACTTTATCTAGTCTTCAGAAATCATCTTGGACTTGCTTGATGTTTGAATTAAATCTTTATCAAAATTATATATTGGGCTTGCTTGAGTTTTAAATGTTGTTGACTTGAATTATCATCAAAATCATCTCTTGGGAATGTAAGGACATGTTACACATTGTCATCAATCTTCCCCTCAATGCTTTCAGTTCTAGGGCAATCCAACAAGCCATGTAGTGCCTTCAAAATCCAAGACTAAGCTAGAACATTCGTTTCTTGCATGATGTTTCACATTGCCATCAATCTCCCCCTTTTTGATGATGATCAAGGAAATACCTGAAATGAATTAAAATGCTTGACTCTATATAGCCAACTCAAGATTAGCACAAATTTGCACACTATAGTGTAGCACAGATTAGCACAGTATATTTAAACTTTCCCTAGATATGTTAATAACAAAGCTTTCTCTAACTCATCTGAGCAAAACTTCTCCTAACTCCCCCTGTGTAATTCAGAATTAGGAATGAATTTCATACAGATTTTAATTCATAAAAAAATCTCCCCTTATTTCACACAGATTAATATCATCAAAAATTTTTCCTGTTTTATTGATAATTATGAAAAGTATTGTAAGAAAAATTTAGTACAATTTTTCACATAAATCAAGGCAGAGAAGATAATTCATCACAAAGTGTCATAGAGAAGAACATCATAATAAGGAGGCAATATCTAAGATACCTAAGGCAAATGAAGAGAGAGAAAGATAAAGGAATAGAATGATTGTAGAAATAATGAAATGAAACGGAGTAGTTTTCCTCAATTGTAGTCTTCTTATTGAGACAACTTTCAAATTCAAATTCACTCATATTCCAAATTTCAAATTTCAAATTTTAAATTCAAATTTCAACAAATTTCACATTTCAAATTCAAATTCCAACAAATTTCAAATTCAAATTCGCTCAAATTTTGAATTTAAACTTCAAATTTCAAACTTTCAAATTTTAAACTTTCAAATTTCAACCTTTCAGATTTCAAAACTTTCAAATTTTCATAAATTCAAATTTTCAAAATTCAAACTTTCAAATTTCTAAGTTGGTTAACAATCGAATTTATATGGCAGATAAGTGCATATATTCAATGCAAAGGCATGGGAGACAAGAATAGACTTATCTTTGTGATATTTTTCTGTTTATCTAGCTTTGCTCCTGTACACCTATTTAGCTCCAATAATCTGCATTGATTTCTTATCCTTGATAATTACCTGCAACATCAACATATAAATCTAGGTGCCCTTTAATTATTTTTGTGTCCTTAAAAAGGTTAGTATAATCACAAGTATCTGTCAAAAGACTAAGGATAAAATACTATAATCATAATATAATAGATTGAAATTTTTTCCAAACTTTCAAAAGTTTTCTGTCATAATCAATTATCATAGCACCTTCAAAATCAACATAATCAATTATGATAACAAGAAATTTCACTCTAGAAGATAACATAATCAATTATCACAGCAAGAAAATTCATCAGTATCACATTTGACCCATCATAATCGATTATGGTGATGTCATAATCGATTATGACAGCAAGAACAAATTTTCTGAAAATTCATAATCTATTAGATGCTCAAACTATCATTTAGACATGCATAAATGTTTTGTTCTTTTAGGCACCCATTCATATTTGCCATTAGATATGCCAAAATGCTTTATATAACATCTATTTGATGTATGACCTAATTTCATGCAATAAAAACATGTTGGTTTTCTTTGAAAAAGTCTAAATGAGTTTCTTAAAGTTTTTTAAACTAGTTTAACATCTGTTTTCCTTAACTCTTTCACAAAAATAGTTTTATGAGGTTCTAGAATTTCTTTGGATTTGTAACCAAGTTCATCTTTGCTAGAATCCCCTCTTTGATAACCTAATATAGAATCAAGATTTTCAGAAGATTTTGAAAACTTGCTCTTTATTTTCTCTAACTTGAAATCTCATTTTCTAAAGTATTACAATTTTTATAAGGTGTAGCAACTTCTTTATCTTTAGCCAAAGTTTTAAATTTATCAACATCTTTCTTTAAGCACTCATTTTCTTTTTCAAGAATACAAACAATATTTTCTAATGCATGAAACTTTTGTTTAAGTGCAGTATATTTCTTAACTAATCTTTCAAGATGTTCAAACATTTCTTGATAGGCTTCAAGCAACTCATCATATGCATTTGAGGATTTTGTGCTACTTACTTGTGATGAGGTTTCTTGTGATGAAGCTTTTTCATCACTCTTTGTCATCAAGCAAAGATTTGCTTCTTCTTCTCTATCACTACTTTTAGAAGAATTTTCTTGTGTCGTGGAAAAATCATTATAAGCTTTGTGTTTTCTCTTATAGATATTGTTCTTCTCTTTCTTCTTCTCTTTCACATTTTTCTTCTCTTTCTTAAGTTCCGGACAGTCTGGTTTGATATGACCAAGTTTTCCACATCCATAACACTCGTACCTATTGGTTTTCTCTTTTCTTTGTTGACTCTTTTTCTTGTTCTTCATAAAACGAGAAAATTGTTTAGCTAAAAGAAATATATTGGAATCCGAAGACTTACCTTCATTTTCACTTTCATCTTGTGAAGTTTTTACTGCATTTAGAGCTATCGTCTTGACTTGGTTTTGCTCACCATTCTTTAATATTTGTAGTTCCATCTCATGCTCTCGCAGCTTTCCAAATAGAGTAGTAATATTCATTTTTGTGAGACCATTTGATTCTATTATAGCAGTGACCTTTGGTTGTCAATTCCTGTTTAAGGATTTCAAGATCTTTGTGTTCAACTCCTCGTTATCAAAAGCTCTTTCCTAATACTTTCAAGTGATTTACTATATGTGTGAAGCGTATCTAGAAATCTGTGATGTTTTCATTATGTTGCATTTGAAACAATTCATTCTCTTGGATGAGTATGTTCTTACGTGCTCGCTTTACTTTATTTGTTCCTTCATGTGTCACTTCAAGAGTGTCTCATATTTCTTTTGTCGTTTTGCATTGTGAGACCCTGAAAAATTCATTACGAGTTAAGGTAGAAACAATAGCATTTCGGGCTCTTACATCATATTGGACACGCTTGTTTTCATCTGGCGTCCATTGGTCAAAAGTCTTTGAAACAACTCCAGATTTCATTGTTTTCATCGGAATGTAGGGACCGTTGAGTACAACATCCCAAACACCGTAATCTAGTATTTGTAAAAATATTTTCATTCTCGCCTTCCAAAACTGATAGTCTTCTCCTTCAAATAGTGGTGGTCTATTTATTGAGGCTCTTTCTCTGTAAACCTGATTCTTTATAGACATCTTGATAGATCGTTTAGAAATAACTTATCTAACCAAACTCTGATACCACTTGTTAGATAAATGGCATCTAGATGGAGGGGGTGAATAGATGCATAAATTAAAATAGATGTCAAATTAAAATTAAAATTGTGATGTCAATAGTTTTTTAAATTGAGTTTGAACACAGATAAAGCACAAATAAAGCGAAAACGATAGATTCAGATAGATAAAGGGAAAGATTCAAGCATGAAGATATAAAGAAGAGAAGGACAGTATAGGGAAGAGAAGATCACACAAACATTTATACTGGTTCGGGTATAGCCAACCCTACATCCAGTTCCCAGTCAACTCTAATCACAAGAGTTACCCTAATTCACTATCTTTCAAATTCAATTTACAAATTACAATCAACTCAGCAGAGGAACCAGTAAAAAGTAAACTAATTCAAAAGACAAACACCTCCTTAGAATCTCACTAAGGATGAACACATCCCCAGAATCTCACTAGGGACGAACACCTCCTCTGAACAAATCAAAGGATGAAAACACCTCCTTAGAATCCCACTAAGGATGAACACCTCCTTAAAATCACACTAGAGATAAACACCTCCTTGAACAAATCAGAGGGATGAAAACACTTCCTTAGAATCCCACTAAGGATAAACAATAGAATAACATAATTGATTAACTTAAACCAATCAAGGATGAAACATCTTCCCTGAACCAATCAAGGGAAGAGTACCTCCCTGAACCAATCAAGGGATGAACAATTCCCACTCTGAAAATCCTAAATAACACAATCAATAAAATAAGAACAGTCACATTTGGTAATGGAGACACCAAAGTGTAGAAGCTTATAGAATGTCAACCTCCAAGAACAAGTATGATTAACAATGAAAGTGCAGAAGACAATATGAAAAAGTTTTCTCAGAAAACCTAAAAGTGTTATGTTGCATTGTTCATAATTCTTTTCTCAAAATTGATTGAATATAAATTGTATTTTCAAATTCTGTAATTGTGTATTTTTTTATCTTTCATCAAAACTCATTTAAATAAGAAAATAGCATCAGAAAATAGTCATTGGTCATTAATAATTTCATAGAAAAAAAATCAGGATGTATTAAAAATATTTATTCTTCAAAAACATATATATTTTTCAAATTTAAACCAGTCATAATTGATTATATTACCAAGTATAATCAATTATGACAAAGAGAAAATCGTTTTTCCATTTCGGATGCATCATAATCGATTATGACAGTGAAAAAATGTCATATTAAGTTTATTTGCTGATGTAATTGATTATGATAGTGAAAAGTGTCATATTACGAAATTTTATCACACTTGTGCTTTGGAGGCTTATGCATAATACCACTTCATCAACTTGTATTTCCATATCCAGTATTCTAAGACTATATCAAGTCTTCAAAAATCATCTTGGGCTTGCTTGATGTTTGAATTAAATCTTTATCAAAATCATATCTTGGACTTCCTTGAGTCTTGAATGTTGTTGACTTAAATCATCATCAAAATCATCTCTTGGGAATGTAGGGACATGTTTCACATTGTCATCAATCTTCACCTCAGTGCTTTCAGCTCTAGGGCAATCCAACAAGCCATGTAGTGCCTTCAAAATCCAAGATTAAGCTAGAACCTTCTTTTCTTGCATGAGGTTTCACATTGTCATCAATCCCTCCTCATTGCTTTCAAAATCCACAAAATTTATATGTAATTAAGAAAGAGATGACTAAATTATTGCAATCAAGTATAATTTATCCTATTTCTTATAGTGAGTGGATTAGTCCAATTCATGTTGCTCCCAAGAAACCAAGCCTAATTGTTATTATTGAAAGCAATGAGGAGGAGATTGATGACAATGTGAAGCATGTTCCTACATTTCCAAGAGATGATTTTGATGATGATTCAAGTCAACAACATTCAAGACTCAAGCAAACACAAGATATGATTTGATAAATATTATATTCAAGATTCAAGCAAGCCCAAGATGATTCCTGAAGACTAGATAGAGTCTTAGAATATTGATTATGGAGATACAAGTTGATAAAGTTGTATTATGCATAAGTCTCCAAAGCACAAATATGATAAAATTCCGTAACATGACATTTTTCCACTGTCATAATCAATTATGATATATCATAAATGGAAAAATAATTTTCTCTGTCATAATTTATTATACTGGAAAATTTTCTCACTCAGAGGTCTAGAACCAAGAACAGATGTACTTATACCATCCTCCACAACTTCTTGCTCAAACAAAATTTTCCATTGTCATTAACCAAAAATCATAATGGTTACCAAAAATCATAATGGTTATCAAATTTTGGGATAGTGGGTTGCACAAATTCAGGGGATGACATCTCACCAGATTATTAGTGAGATTTGCTTAGCTCTTTTATGGAGTCACTCTCTCGGATTGGATTATCAGCCCATGTAGAGCTCAAATACCAATTGTTAAAGAATAATTATATCAGACAATTGGTATGCTAGAAGAGATGGAATGCGGCTGAATGTTTGCGTACCTTTTATTCAATCAGGGAAATAAAATATATAGAGCTGTTTACAATAAAAATAAAAAAAAACTAACTGGAGCACATTTAGGATGTGATCCCTATATTATTGGAACTGCTCTACAAAGTGGGAGCAAATTCTGCACTAGAAAAATAACTGCAAAACAGAATAACAAGAACAAAACCTGACAGAAAGACAAAACCCTTTAGACTTGACCAACTAAACACAAAAAGTACTCTTAAGACATGCCACGAATTTCAGCAACAGTTTTGATTTCATAACATGATACACTCCATTAGATTAAGAGTAATAGTTTAAACTAATGCCTCTCGGTGCCAAAGGCTCATCACTATTGCAAAAGTATCAGGGCGACGCATTGCGCATCCATACCCTTGCAATCAATAGTATAAGTTTAAACCACTAATTACCAAAGAAAATACAATTCGTTGCTTGAAAGATGAGCCAATGAAGACGCTACAACAGAGACAAACACAGGAAAGAACACACATACCAATTATTATCATGCAAATCCAATAATGGATAATGAACTGGCACAAGCTGTGTCATTACCCATGAGTGTTTACAGAGACTCCGAAAGTTGCCCTAGTTCTATAGGTACCATTACATCTTCTGTTCTTCGTTGCAGACATCCAATAACTTCTACTCTGCATATGATGCTAAGGCCGTTCCAATTTTTGGCTAGTAAATATATGGACCATCCTTAAGGTTCCGCTAGGAATTATTCTAGGCTGCAAAGGAAGAAAGATAAGACCTAATCAAAGATGCAAGCTACCAACCCATCCCCAACCAACGACTATTATACAAAAATAAAACAAACTACAAGACAAAAAAACCATCACTTAAACTCTGTGAGTAATTTATAAATCACCCCAAAATAGATGAAGAACATTCTGAATTGCAAAAAGTCACAAGGACGATATTACAGCAAATCCCAAGGCACCTAAATTGAACTTTTTATTTGTTTCCAAACACAACGCCTGGACAACTGATCACATATTATACAATCCACTAACCAGGGAACAACACCCCAAAGTACAACATGGTTTCATCAGTAGAGGCTAGAAACATAATTCCATGTTAAATACAATAGTTCATGTCCCTTTGGTAAAAATTGTTGACTTTGCACTCACTACAAAACCTGTCGGTAAAAATCAAAATCACAGACAAACTATTTGATACAAAAAAACTAGAACACATAGAAGAACAATAAAATTTAAATGTACGACATTTACAAATAAGCTGGTCTTGTATGCTTTAGAAGACAATCAACTTGGTAAAACCTGAAATTTCAATTCCAAATCACCCACAGCACCTAACCCTCATGCAGATATGCCTGATGAGCCATTTTGAACAATAGCCGATTTTATCTTGGAGGGAGGAGATGAAATCCTCATTTCTACATTACCCCAAGGCATCGAAGGAGATGATTTTCTGCATTATATCCCACGCCACCTTAAAAATCCAGTTTCCAATAATAACTCTAGTCCCTTCCAGATAAACTGCGTATACAACGAAACTGGATGTGGTAAGCTATTAACTCAGCTCTAACACCAGGTTGAGTCAACAACCAACCAGCAAATCGATCCCATTTTCACATAACTCAGATGAGATAATTATGCTAGCAGCCTAACTCTGCACCTTCCCACTTCCAAGTGTGAGTTCCAAATCATCCATTGCCACTTCATGAATTTTTTCCCCAACCCAAGGCATTACCTGTACCCCAAACTCTTCTGAACTCGTCCTCATCTCTTGGATTAAGTTATCAGGCACACCGTGAGGAACCACAGGTTTAACAAGATTGAAGGTTGGTGAAGTTGGCAACACATATGAAGAAGGAGCAAATGCTTGGAATTTCACCCACTGGCTAGACACACAGGTGGAAGTATCAGACTCATCGCATTCTGGAATAGTGGCCGGGGTGTAAATGTGACGGTGCGTGGGGCTGGCAGGAGCAGAAGCTGCAAAAAGAGGGTAATGGAAGGAGGCCATGGATTCTTTTGCAATAGACTCCCATGTAGGAATTGGTTTCGGATTTCTTGACGTAGGTGATGACAGAGGCGGCGTCACAGGGGCACTGTTTGATATCCGCAGAGGAGGAAGAGACAGGGACGCATTGCGAATGTATGGAATGAGGTTTGACACATTGTCCTTATCCGCATCTAAACGAAACGGACTGGGGAAAGAGGAGGAGTAATGACTCACTTGGTATGAAGGAATTGGACTGGGATACGACGAAGTGAAAGGACTAGCATTTTGTGAGTAAGAAAAGGGAATGTTTCTCATGGAGCTCCCTGCACCATTTGCCAGAGGTGGCTTGCAGCCCTATTCACCCAAAACACATAAACTACGTTAACATTGCAACTATCACATTAACACCACAATTCAGAGTTTAAAGTGTGATGAAAAAATCACAAGTTGTATCTGCCACGGATGAATCACATCAATACTAACAATTTAGAGTCTGATGTATGAAACTCTACAAGTCTATGTAGTTGATGAGAAAATCATAAGTTCATATTGTCTATCACAAACCAATCACATTGACACTATTTAAAGTGTGTTTGAAATATAAGCAAAAAAATAATAATTCCAATAATATTTAGATTCATTTTTTTTTTTAATTACCGAAAAATGATCTTAACATACAGTATTTTTCTCTGGAACTATCACTTTTTTACATAAGAGAAAAGTGTGTACGGAGGTGAAATTTTATTTTGAAAAATAATAATAAATTACAATTTTTCATATTTATAAAAATAATTTATCTTAAAAGATAATAACTATTTTTCGAACAACTTAACAGTGATTTTTTTTATCTCAAACAAAATAAAATCGACATTAATCATTACAAACTAAAGTGAGCAAAACTCTAACAAAAAGATGAGAAAATTATACATTAATATCAGTACATAAACACAATTCATTTTTTCCATTTACAATTAAGATTATTTTACTGATAAACCCAACAATTTAAGACACACAACTCCAGCATCAAAGTTCGGTTCTATTCCATTTTTCGGTACATCAACTAGAGATTTATTCCTATTTATCACAAGCTTATATTTTCCGCATCTGAATATGCAGTGGTAATAAGGATCAGAAAATCCGATTACTGTGCCAGAAACACGATAAGTAACTATACTTTCTCGCTTCCAGTTCCTCGTGGCAAATTTGGAATGCAGCATAGACCGAAAGTTAAACGCACAGTTTGATTGAGATGAAAAATGCACAAGTAAGATCCAGCAACACTGTAACAAATTAAATGTATGCAATTCCTTTCGATTTGATTTATTACCTTGCGATATGTGGTTCCGTCTTCTTCGACGCACCAACCAGCTTCTGCGCAAAGCGCTTTGAGAACTTCGTTGTTGTCACAGTGCTTCGGTAAGTTATAGTTCCCCTGAGCTCGAAGTCCAGAATATATTTTGGCCGCAATCGCTCTTCTCCTTCGTTCTCTCCTTCGGTTATTCTCTCTCTCTTTCCACGATGGCTTCCTCCGACTCGCCAGCGCCGCCGAAGTCGCTCCGTCGGAGGCCATTTACCGGCAATAGAGAGTAGCGTGTGCACGTCGCAGGGGATTTAAAGCCAGGGAGAGTGCAACGCAACGGGTTCACGACTCACGAGGATCCCGCTTTCCTCCAATTGTCTTCGCTGGATGCGTGAAGAATCTGATAAAGATAAATTCAGCCGAGAAAACAATTTCAGTGCAGAAAGTCTCACCCAAGATTTTGGAGTTGAAGTGTGAGAATTGTTGGATTTAGATTCGATGAGATATTGAACGGATGAGATTGTTCAGCGGTGAGCGAGGGCCCGAGAGAAGTGAGAGATGTGACGCGTGGACGCACTGCATTCCATGTGGACTGCTTTATCTGATAAGCTAATTATTATGAGAGTGGGACCCACAACTGAAGGTCAGAAATGATTCAAAGCAGAATGATTCATGTATGTAAGAAAAAGAAAGAATTATACCATTATTTATTCTTTGAAAAACAAAATGAACTAATAAAACTGCTTTTTTTGTTTTATTATACTAAAGAATATTATAAAAATAAATCAATAATTTATATTATAAGAATAAATGTGAGTAAATCACCTAACACCACCTATATATCGTAACACACGCAAAATCCACATATATTGATCCAAACTTTTGAGTAATTTTTGCATTGTAGATTTTTAATTTGATTTTTTTATTTGGGTCTGTTTAATTAATGTGTTAAATGGGTTTTATCTTCAGATTTCGACGGACTTTTTTACAGTTTAATATACAAATATAACATTATCAAGTACGAGTGAAACGATGAGTAAAGTTAAAAGTTTATCATATATATATATATATATATATATATATATATATATATATATATATATATATATATATATATATATGTGTGTGTGTGTGTGTGTGAAATTTAAGAATATTTTATGATTAAATGGGTGATATAATATTTTTATTTAATATATAATTATAGATTAAGTAAAAAAAAATTAAAATCTAAATTATTTTATTATTTTGAATAAATATTTTTCATAAATATAATTTTATATTTTAAAATGATATATCAATTCAAACCTCTGCTCTCATATTTAATTATAACAAATTTAGATAAAAAAATTATATTAAGATATTTTTTATTATATTTAAAATTAAAACGAGTATTTTTTTTTCTCTTTTTATAAATAATTTCACCTTTACATACCAATCCATATTATTATAATAGTAATTAGTTAGTTTGAAGGATTATAAAGATCAGAAATGTTTTTGACAATCCCAAAACATATAATTTTCAAATATAACTCACTTTTCATATAATAATGATAATTTTAAATTATTTTTATTTTTATTAAATTATTTTATAATTATTATATTAATAAAAGTAAATTGTTTTAGGGTTATTTGTTTTTAGAATTGTCAAAATATCAAGATGGACAGAGTCTCTTTAAAAGAAATGGAATATTTTAAAATGAGGAATTTCATGAAAAAAGTTGGTAATTTTTTTCAAGTAATGATAATATTTTATGAAAGAATGTTCTCACATTACCATCATATCATATTATCAATTTAAGGGGTGAAAGACTCTCAATTCAGGTCTGATGTAATTATGGTATGGAATGTATATAAATTATTTTTATAATCAATTCATCAAATAATACATATTTTACTCTCTTTTTTTTTTTTTGTCATTTAAATAGAACCTTACGTATCAGATTTGAGAAAAAAAAACTACCAAAAAAATTAATAAAAAAATTAAGTGTAAAAGAAATATTATTTAAATTAGGGATAAATAAGCAAAGTAAATGCAACCGACAAATATCCTACTAAACGAAACAATGACAAAAGTATAATCTCTTGAAACGAACTCAACTTAGCTTAGAATATATATATATATATATATATATATATATATATATATATATATATATATATATATATATATATATATATATATATATATGTGTCAATTTTAATTTATATACAAATTTAATCATCGTTTTTTTTTATAAATATTCATTCTAATATATAAAACGATTTTCAAATATCAATGGTTAAAAAAATGTATAGAAAATCCATAACTAATTTCAGGTTTGTCCATTGTTTATCTAGGCTTAAAATGGACGTCAAAATCAGGCATTTTAAAATTAGCAAAAATAAATTGCTAAAATTATTATAATTGAAACATAATTTTTCTTAAGTTTAATGTTATTAAATTTTTTTTAACATTTTTTTTCAATTCTAAATAAGGTGTAAGTTTTTCTCGTAAAAAAGAAAAAAAAAACTACAAATACAAAACGAGAGGGAAAGTTACTTATTGAAGGTAAAGAATGAAACAAACGAATATAATAATTTTTTTCTGAATGAAAAGATATTATGAATTTTTTTTTGTTAAAAATCAAATTTGTTACTGTCAATTACCAAACATGATCTATTAAATAGTAAAAATATTTTAAAGCTTAAAATAGACTTAATTATATATTTAATTCGTAAATTTTAGAGTGGTTTTAATTTTAATTTATCATATTAAAAAAATATTATTTTATCTCTCAAAATTAAAAGAAAAAATGATTTTAGTTCCTAAAAGGATTAATATAATTTTTTAAAACAGTTTTTAGTTATTCAAATTTAAAGTTTAAAAACTAAAACTATATTCTACTAAATTTAAAATAGTATTTATCAACTAAAACCATAAATAAACCTTTAAAATATTACTAATTAACAAAAAAAATTAAGAACCTGCAGGCACTTTACCTAGACATTACTTCACCTCATTTGTGCTATATACTAGCAAGTTATTTAACTAATATTTTGATACTGTTAATTACTTTATTATTTTATAAATAAAGACTGTATCCCAAATCAATTTGTTGAATATAAATAATTAGATAAAATAAATTGGGTTCAAAATGAAATGTATGTGTAAATTTGTAACCTGGTATTTTTCTTCAACTCCATTTAAGTGAGGAAAATTGTATTATTGTAAGTTTAATCGTATTTTACTATTCTACAGGTTATGATTACTACATTTGTTCGATATTTAAATTATATATAAAAGGTAAAAATAAAATAATAAAATTATGGTATTCTTTGATTGAAAATAGATATGAATCTTTATTGACCCTTCAAATTCTTGTCACCCATTTGGACAAAAATCGACGAAAAGCTTTTCCTTTACCCTCTTTTTGGGTGTTTGAAACGTTTTTCTTTTTTTCCGTTCTCTTTAATGGGTCAAGGATTGAAGCTACCCACGATCCGTTATCTTCCTTTACCTTTAAATTTTCCAATTTGATATTGAGGAGGGAATAAACCTGAAATCTAAAAAAGAAAAAACTCGATGGGGGCACGAGAGGCCCCGGAAACACGATCTAAAGATCAATTCTTGAAGACCAACATTAGTCGAAACAAGTGGTAACACCAAGTAGTTCAAGAACCGATTCTCTGATGTCACTTTGTATATAAAATAAACTATGTCATGTTAAAAGTGGTTTCTAACTGGTTGATAGTGCTAAAATATTTGAATTATAACTCTTTACCCAAAACCCCATCCAATAAGCATTACGCCCAGAATGAGAAACCATTTTAAGGCCACTCTCTCAAAGTCGAAGCAGAGCTGCAGTATATCTATCCCGTACACAGACAGAAGGGACCAAGTTACTAAAAAGGGACGCTGCAAATTACTCAAGTCACCAAGGAAAATCGCTTTTTTTAACATTGATCTATCTTTTTAACAAAATATTTAGAATCTTGAAAGTAGAGGGGTTCATTTCCCCAAGCAACCCATCCAGCCAAAATTTCTCTAGCAAATAGATCTATACATCGAGGAGGTTTGAGCCCAGGAACGTGCTCCACTAACAGATCTGACCACGATAGAAGGAAGAAAAAGAATAATTTAAATCATGTGCTAACTTTCAGTACAACTTAATTACTCGTGTATTGTTTATAAATTTAAAACTACACATTAAGGGTACCTGCAATTGGGGGTTTCCTTGAGTAATCCCCGGGAATGCTCATAATCACACGATCATTCTTCACAGGTTTAAATTGTGATAGATTATCAGTTTTATTTACCTAGAAAAGTAATAAAGAACACAAACTGAGTGCTATAAACAGAAGGGGGTGTCTAATAGTTAGAATGCTTATCATTAAACACGGCAAAATCTGACCTTCCCGGGACTATATCCCAAGATAAGGCATTCATATGGCCTATGATGGAAGAGATCTAAATCACAAATCAAGGATCCATTTTCTTTCACCTGCAAACGATAATAAAGAATAACAGCAATTGGAATGACATTACAAACTTATATGGCAATTGCCAAGGAAAGGGGGAGTAATTAACTTGATAGATCACCTTTAACCAATAAAACGTAGCAGCATAGCTGACTCCCCAGGCAGGAAAAAGCTCTCTCTCAACGAAACTGCGTAGCTTCTCTCTGTTGGTCACCCATAAGGCTACAAGTGCTCCTTTAGTGTGAGTGAGTTGCTTAATAGGAAGGGATAAAAAATACTTGTTGGGCAAGGTTTGGTACCTACATTGATGAAAATGCGATCAAGGTTTTTATATAAGCTACAATTATGAACTAATTTCAGATGAGTAACAGTTATTGTCTTCATCAATGAGTCACAAAGCTATCTCTAATTCACTAATTAATAAGACACTCCTCCAAATTTCAAGAAAAAATGAATAACAAGTTTTTCAACCCTCTTCCTATATTCATTGGAGAGAAATGTATCTGAACAATACAGATCAAAGAGAAGCAAGGCGTATCCAAGGCAATGCAGGGATGAATTACTATATATGATACAGGAAAATTGTAAACATTACATCAATAAAACATAGTGAGACTTTTTACATACCTTGATTTTTGGTGGGCACTAGCATTTTCCCATGGTGGATCCACCATTATGAGGTTGAAACCAGAATCAGCATGAGCTGCATAAATTAGTCAAACAAAAGAATGATTAAATATTATACCCTCATTACGTGACCACCTTGACACAAAAGGTACCCGGAAATGGCACAAAGAATTTCTGGAACTGGGTAGTGACAGATAAGATCATACAGGCAGTCTGGAAATACCTTCTATCCATCTAGCATAATTTGATGAAAGACAAGATAACTCCATTACCATGTCATGAAACTTTTGAATATTTATTCACAGACATGAGAAAAGAATGAGAATGACACGTAGTTAGAAATATCAACAACTAAAGTTCCTTTTTTCCAAGAAGGTGGTTGTAGCATAAAAGCTTACATGTGGTATCAATGAACAAGACAGTGGCTAAGAGGTACGAAGACATTAACAAGAAAAAAATTGAGTTTTATATGTAACCATTACCAGGAATTAGATTGCGAATTTGTCCCAGATCAGACTTCCACATATGAAAACAAATAAAAAATTATAACATGTAAGATACGCAGCAATGGATCAAGAGTTAAAAAGTTTAATCAACTAAAAACCTAAGAATTCTCACAAATAAGATGATCCAAAGAAGAGACTGTAATAGATACTAACTTCAAAAAGGAAACACATCCCAACTACTATCATGCAGGTTTAACATACCATGTAAAAGCAACTCTCCCGAGGGATTATATAACGATTGCACAAAATTTCAGCCACTGCATCATCCTGGGTGTCATTAGCAACCAAATTATTAAAAGCACGGACTACCTTCTGTTCACAGCATTGCACACTGGGAAAGTCTGAGAAACCAAACAATTACATTCATGCAGTAAGCTTTGGTTCACCTGCTAACTCCACACACATCTAACTGATAAAGATTCAAACATTATGCCAACGACAGAACGAGCTCAATCTAATGTTAGCAGCCGCATATTAATTTTTCTTTTAACACTTATAGAAGAAAGAAATAAGAAGGTAAATGAATTCAGTTACATTTGAAGTTAAAACCAACTTATGCACTTACTTGTCTAACCACTCCAAGAGTTGAAGTGCAAGTAGATTTTAACTTACGAGAGAAACTTAATTCATTTCTTCTACTACGAATCTCTCCAAATACATTTTTCCATAAGCACTTTCGGGAAAATAAAATGAGAAAGAAAAAAAAAAGTATGTTAGACTTATATATACTTATGCATAAGGAAATAGGAAAACTTTATCATCTTAGAATTTTCAAAAAACTTATATATTTAACTTTTTCATAAACTAACCTTAGCATTTAAATAATAATATTTCTTTTTTTCTTATTCTTTTCATATAAGTTTTTATGAGAATATTTATCTACACATGTTGGTGGAAAAAATCGATATATGGATCGAAAAGCGGATGGAAAAAAAATAGAGGATCATATGTTAGTTGAAAAATTGATAACATTGGATGAACATGAATTAGTAAGAAAATATCGATCGAGAATTAGAATCGAGAATTGAGAATGGAACGAAGAAGATTCGATGACTATTGCGGATGGATATTGCTGAAGAAAATGGAGAATGGGAATAGAGAATCGAAAAAAGAGAGAATTCGATGACTATTGAGGAAGAAAATCCAGAATTGAAATCTAGAATCGAAAGAAAATAGGAAATTCGATGAAAAGTTTATCCATACAACATCTCTTTAAATTTTATTTCATTCCCCTCAATAATATTATTATTCCATTTCACTTGTCATTATTAACATTAACCCAAACAAGACCTTAGCAATGAACACCAGTAATCGGGGAAGAGCATTCACCTTGTAGATCACTTGGGAGCGGGTGAGAATCAGCGTCAGTGTCACTTAGGCGTAAACTTAGAGTTACCTCAAGTTGAGGTGTCACGTGTCCTAGGTTAACGAAAGAGCGCTGCCCACCCTCACATTCCCTTGCTGAGCAACTTGATTCACTCTTCAGAGCTTTCAAAGCATTCAATACTTCAGTTGATTTCAGCAAACACTCGTGCGCCGCCAACAACAATGGCCTCGATTCCTGCACAAACCCACACGTGCAAATGTAATTAATTAATTAATTAATTAGAATCGCAAATTATAGTAATATACTCTGTTATTACCTGGTGTCGCTGTACAGCGATTAGTTCTCTCTCGTTCAAAGCTCGAGGTTCTTTCCGTTTCCGTTTCCGTTTCGCGAGAGAGGAAGTAACGGTGGGGGAGACGGGGTTGAGGGTTGTTTGGGTTTTGAAGAAACGAGAATAGTAGATTGACGGCGAAACGCTGAAGCGGTGGTAGAAACGGTTGAGAACGCGGACGGAATCCACGAAAACGGCATTTGAATCATCGAAGGAGTACACGCCAGATTCGTAAAACCACGAAAGTTTCTCAGAATTGTGTTTTCCTTCCATGCCTCCACTCACGACTCCACGCACCCTGCGCTGTGTGCCAACATGAATCAATGGGTTGGGCCAGATGTTGGGCTTTTTTATTGGACCAGTTCGATTCGTTTCAATAAGATTCAATCCTAGTAAGTTGATCCTGTACCTCAATTCATTTAAAATTATTTTTGTCATTAATTTCTGGAATATTTTTGGATTTTGCTTTCCAGAACTTTTCATATTAATCTTCTCAGAGTGCTAAAATTATATTTTGAATTTCAAAATCTGAAACTTAAAAAAATTATATATATTCTATATCTGAATTTTTTCTGGATTTTTGAATATTTTAAAATATGTTTCTGAATCATTAATTCCATAAATTAATATTATATTTTCAAATAAATATGAGGCGGAGAGAAAATATGGAATGGGCCTTTGTTTTGTAGTCCATATATTGAATTATAGGCCTGTATGGTTTTTTTTCTCAGCATTGTCCAATTTTTTACATGAAAGTTGGGCTTTAAGTCTTATCGTGGACATCAATAATGGGTAGTTGTACAAAAGCCCAACCAGTAATTGTTGTGTATCAAACTCCCTTAAAAATGGACCAAAAGAAGAAACACAACTCATTCTAAATCGTAAAAATTTAAGAAATCCATATTATTTTATGTTCCTATGATCAATATCTTTATATAATATCAAAACATTTGTCTCAATAGAAACTATCAATTTTAGACTTTTAATCATATAGATGTGTGAATGAGAAAGAAAGAGAAAGGAACAGCAAACAAAAAGCAAATTAAACGTGAATTGTACTCTCACGTATCATAATCGTGGGCTGACTTGAATGGAACCATTGAGGTACAAAATACGTCAT